ATCAGTTCTCCCAATGGTATAAGTTTGGAATTAGGAATGAAATCTAGGTGGTATGAGGTTGGAACTTAATACTAAGGGCCTGTTCTGGTATACAGAGCCGAGCCGAGCTGAATTGAAGTGATTGGAGCTTAACTAAGTTAAGTTGAGTTGAACTGAATATTTTATGAGAGAAGGAAATTAGGAACTCAAGTGATTGAAGCTAAACTGAATTGAACTGAAATTAAGCCGAAGAGAACCGACCCTTAATATCATGTGTTTGGTTTTGCTTAGAATGAATAATTTTTTTTTTTTTTTTTTTTTTTGATACCCGAAGACATGGTATGAACCATGCCCACCTCCCCCCTTGGGTTTTTTTAGCCCCATAGCTCAATGGTTTGAAAATTGTAATTTTCTTAAACAAACACAAGGCATGGGTTTTACACTTTTACCCATCATAAACCTATATCTCATACCTAAATTACTTGAACCAAACGCCCCCTAAGAGTTTGTTAGGCACACGAATCATGTAAGTGATATGAACACCAACTTAGTGACTTTTCAATAATATTATTTTTAAGGACCAGAATATATATTGTCTTCTCTGCTGCAAAGAGTTTGTTTTGCTGCAGCAGCCGGGTACACCCCTTAGGAAGCCCACTTACAAGTTACAAGCTTAAACTAGGAGAAGAGATATAGCTTTATTATACCTCCCCAACAACCTAGTCTTTCGATCCCACAGAAGGCCCTTAGACTTCAATGAGAAACTTGATCTTCAAACTAACAAACTTTTGCGGTCACCAAAAGTAGTGCATGACCAGTATATTCTCAAGTGCCTACATGATCCCTTCATGGACCTGATTTTCTTTCGTTCAATGTACTTTACTGGTCATCCTAGAGTCGTTAACTATTACGGAGTAATAAAATGCCAAGAATAGGTCATTATGGTTGCGAAACGTCAGACCTTCTCCTGTGACTTCTAATACGAAGTATGTGATTGTGGCTAATTGAAAGACAATTCTTCTGCATTGCAGAGTCTTGTCAGTTTTTGAAACTTTAAACATTGAGCATGTTGAAGAGCTGACTTTGGGGAACATGATTGATGATGGTGATGTTGGGGAACTGTGGATAGCAATTTCTACCCATGAACAGCATGACATTTAAAAGTTGAAATTGATGAGCATCTCAAAATTGGAGATACTTCCTAGGGGCCTTGACTGTCTCACTGAGTCGCATCACTTCAAGAGTTATCTATTATTTTCTCTATAACTGGAGATCCCTGCCAAAATGCATTGGTTGACCTACCCAACTTTGTGAGCTTGTCATTTGGTAGCTTCTCCAGTTTACACCATTTTGAGATAGGGAAATGTCCAAAGGTATCAAGGAAATTTCAAAAGGCTTATGGAGAGATCTTGCCACATTTGTCAACTATTTGGTTCATCCCTGATTTTCAACTGAGGTAAATTATCCTTTAACTTAATAACTAATCTTCTGTTAGATCCTTTGCGGACGCTCTAAAACTTATTTTTCCTTTCTCTTTTTGTATTAATTATTTAATTTTCCAACGACTGTAAGTTCCTTAATGCAGTACTTCGATAAGCTTATTGATCACATTCACTAAAGCAGTAAAGCTTCTCTTGGGTAACGGTTTCATTTATGCAAACTTCTGTTGTTCAAGGTTCCTTTTATCAACCTATCAATTTATGCTTTTGTATAATCGAAGCTAACTTAGAAGCAGAGCCTGCCTTGTCTGATATATCATATTAGGCAACAAGCTCTCAACTGCTATTATGCTTGATATTTATTGTATGCTTATCCCCAATAAAATTATGTTTGCAAGACCTAAATACCTGATCACAGGTATGCTAACTGAGTGAAGACAGGGCAGTATGCAGATACCCTATGTTTATTTCCTATCCTGAAACTTATCTCCTCATTAATGAAGCTATGTAATGAAATTGATCTCTAGGTTATTGTATCTATTTAAGGTCTTTCTATTCTATATCAGTCTACTAATTTCTCACTGAAAAAGATGCATCTCATTAATTATCAGGATACCAGCATCAGTTCACTGGCTATTTAGACACTTAAAGAATAAGATTATCCTCTTCTGTTCTCATTTTCCCATTAGAAAAATTCCCCAATTAGCTGTCAGATAAGTAAAAAAAAAAAAAAAAAGCAAAAATAATATGAAATGAAATCTGAAATACCCAGATAAGTAATTTAACCTTCTTCATTTGGCTCAGACAATCCAGGTACTCTGCCAGCAAGAGGCCCTTGTTTAACAACAGCCGAACCCGGTGCTGGAAATCCTAAAGCTGTGAGAGAAGTAACCAGAGGAGCAACCCCAGATTGCAGAACTAGTGATCTTCTCTTCAATACTCCAGAAGAAAGCCTCTCCTGATCAGCTCTGTCATTGTCAGATGTTTCTGCTGGATTAAATGATGACTGAACAAACTCATTCCTGATTCGTCGATTTTGATTTCGATTATGTTTTGGCAGATATATATCCCAGGCTAAACAAGAAGAGCTACTGCACATAGTTGATATCATCTTTTCCTCTAGTAATATTACAGGAATATGTAGCAAGAACTGAGAAGAATTATGTATAGTATTGTGAATTATGCTTGAAATGCCAAATATATGGTGTTAAAACTCCAGTGTTATCTGGAAAATTTGTGTGTTACTGATGTAACATAATTTGTTGTGCTTTAAGTGGAGAATTCTGTTGAAAATTGAAGTGTTCTTATTTCTTATTGGTTATGTGTAGTTGTGTACCTGATTGTTGAGAACATAGGGATAGAAAGTTGAGTGAACAAAACCCAAGTCTTATATTCCAACGTTGCTGACCTGACACGTGGAATATCAGGATTTTTGTTGTTCATCATATTATCTCCTCTTCCTTTCTAGAAAATTTCACTAATCATTACTCCGTATTACTAATTCATCCATCTGATAATATAAAATAATACATCCGGTCCAATTTGCTCGCAACAAAGGAATGGAGTATTATTTGTGAGACATAAAATATTCCTTTGTTGCGAGTAAATTGGACCAGAGGTAGTAGTTCTCGTTTCTCTCTTTTTTATTATTATTTTTTTTTACCGGTATTAAATTAAATAATAGAATTAGGAATTTAGGATTGTGTAAAAGAACATAAGCCCTTAATTAAAAAATTTGTGTAAGAAGCAAAAATCTATAAAATACATTAATGACAATTTTAATTTTTGGAAAAATTACATCAGAAGTAATGAATAAGTGAAAAAAAAATCCATTTTTTAAGGGCAATAAACTCGGGAAAAAGTAAAGGTAGTTTGTATGGAATTATTATTATTATTTTTTATTGGGAGTACATTTCAGGTTTTCACACACCCAAAAAAAAAAAAAATCAAGTTGTTGGATATATGACTCGAGAATCAATCGAGGCTTGGCATAAGCTAAGGGGATACTTGTATTAAGCAAGGAAGTATTGGATGGGTCAACTTCAACTGGACATATTTCTCAAACTACTTGGAGTTTTGAGGTGATTCAAGTTGGAGGTGAAATCTTATTTCAAGAGCTTTCCAACGATAGGTCGTAAGCTTAATTTTAATGAGAAACGAGGAAGTTATTATTGTTTTACTACTAGCTATTTGTGCCGACCTGAATAGGGGTTACATGTCCGTGCCAAATATGGCATGTTCGTGCAGCTGGACTTCCAGACGACCAATAACATCTGGTTTGATTTATCTAGGCTAGCATGTGCCATATTTGGCACGTTCGTGCCTTCTTGATACTCTGTCCAGGGTTATTTTGTTTTTAATCCCCAAATTGAGAGAAACACATTAATAGCTAGGGTTCTTGAAACCCTTGTGCGTTAGAGTGGAACTTAGTGAGAGATTACTCTTGTAAACACTAATTGAAATCAATATAACTACTTTCCTTGCTTTGGGTGGGTTTTGTAGTCTTCAAGTAATTACTTGAACGATTTTCCCACCTTCCAATTTCCTTTCTCTTTAAATATCAAATTTCTTAGTTGTTCTTTGCTAAGTATTTCAATTATCAACCAATTGTTCTAACACAAGTAATTTAAAAAAAAAAAGAAAAGAAAATGGAATATTACACGCTCTCCCATTCATTAAGAGTTGCTTGAAATTAATACGTTATCATAGCATTAATTTTTTTCTCAACACATTCTACAACACAAACTTTTCTTCCTCTTCGTAGTTTGCACACCATATGTTGCCTATTATCATCCTCCTTTTTTAAATCCTTAATTTTTTTATAAAATAGATAAATTGAGCCTCAACCTCAGACTACTATCACAACAAAGCTGGTTGCCTGCCTGCCTGCCTGGCGATGCCCGAGGGTGAGGGGAGAGGATTTATCATTAATGAAAATGGTACCTTGTTCCTTTTAAGGATGTGAGGGGACCTCATGTGCCACTGTACCAAAAGATCTTTCTCTTCTTAAATCCTTCATAGAGACACAAATACCCTCCAAAATATTATCACCGCTACAACCTTTTCTTCTAGTTCATTAATGTCGATGGAACTCGTTCTTCTTAAGTTTTCCTTTAACACACATGCTTGTAATTGTCATTCTATTTTACTCACTCCTTTAGGTTCTCCTATACTCCGTATTTTTTATTCTAAGTAGGTTATTCAAAAAATTATGAAGATTCCATAATTAGAAATTACATTTTAATACGAATAATGACATCTCATTTGATATGCATTTATTTTACATTTTTACAGATTATTGTACTAATAAGTTTATATGAATTGAACATAGCCTAAATTGTTTAGCTCAAACCGACCCGCAAAACTCCAACAACCCAAATTCCGACCCGTTTTAATTTTCACGGGTCTTCCACACTTATCAATCATCCAAAACAATTACCCGCTTCTCTTATCAATTTTCATATTTCTCTCTCCTTTCTTTAGGGCTTTCATTTCTCTGAAAACCCTAGAATTCAAACCTAAAAATCCCCAAATTCACCTTCAAATCACCCCAATTTTCTCGCCGATCTTGCAAATTCAATCATGCCTAGAGGAGACGAATACGAAGACGACGAAGATTTGGAGCCAGAAGATGGTGATGAGTATGGCGAAGATCTGTACGAAGAAGAACCTGAGGATGAAGACGATGAGGACGACTATGGCAGCGCAAGAGGCGCTAAAGCAAGCGCAAAGAAGCGTCGGAGATCGGATTTTATTGATGATGTTGCGGAGGAAGACGATGATGAGGAGGAAGAAGACGACGATGCTTATGCTCGCGCGCGCCGCCATAAGAAGAGCCGTGGAGGTGGGTTTATTGATGATATTGCGGCGGAAGTTGATGATGAAGATGAAGAAGAGGAGGATGGAGAAGATGGTACATTTTTCTCTACTTTGTTCTTGATTAATGAATTAATTTTTTTTTGGTGAATTGATTATTGATTTTTTGTTCCTTTTAGCTGAAATAGTTTGTTTAGTGGAAATTGGCTCTTTTTTGAAATTTTATTTGATTGCTAGCTTTGATTTTTTATTTGGGTTGCTTTAGTAATGGGTTCTGATGATGCAATGGAGAAGTTAAGGAGAATTAAGCGAGGCGTTTAGTGTTTTCTGGTTGTTGGTTATGCTCCGAAAAGTTGAGGATTAAATTGATTGATGCTGGGTTGAGAGGCCTATTTTGGTTTGAGTAAATATGGAGTGATTTTTGTGTGAGCAATGACTATTTGAGTTTGCATTCCTGCATTTTTTGATCTGGTATTTTGGGTTTATCGTTCTTAGTTTAGTTCGATTAAAAGATAATAAATTTGGAGCCTTAATTTGGTTTGATCAAGTCCGGTGGTCAGTGTCAGTAATTTTCTAAATGTTAATTAAATATATAAAAGTTCAAGATAATTAAATGTACAAAAGTTCAAGATGAGGTTTATGTGATCTTCGGTACTTATGTTTAATAAGAACAGTTTGGTCTTACCTTTTCTTGATGTACGAATAAGGCATAACAAATTACATTATTACCTTTTTTTGCAAGTAACTACACCAGCATGAATTTAAATTTATGGTATGTAGTATCGTTAAAGCACTTGTTTGGAGATTTTGGAGATACAATTTTCAAATAATCACAAGGATGATTTTATGATATGCGGTGGATCCCTATGTTTGTTTGGAAGATATGTAGTGGTTTAACTTTTTCCTTGTTGACATTTAATAAGATTGATGACTTATTTGGGAGGACAGCTGATATCCTACATTGGGATTCCTTTGTGTAGATACCTCAAAGCAGTCTCTTGCTGTATGTGTTCAAGAGCAAATAGCATAGAAATAAAATTAGTTCTTAAGTTACTAAATGGAGTCCGGCATGGCATAATATACTGCAGCAATAATTTTAATTGAAGTTATTCTTAATGACAGTTTTAGAATGCATCATTCTCAAGCTAACAAAGTCAGCATGTATCTCTAGCCTGAAGGAATGGTTACAGGATTGCAATGCATTTTGAGAATATTATTGGTTGCAGTTCTCAAATCTTTGTAGTCAGAGGCAACTAGAGAATAATTTCTGCCTACAATGACTCTGTAAACGCTTAATGGCTCAAATGACCTCTGCGTATTTCCTATGAAGATTTAATTTTATTGTCTTTTGCCTAAGTTATTTCTTACTGCCTCATCTTGTCTTGTTAGTGCTCAATAGCTAAAACTTGGCGCAGAGCATCATCTGTGTCTTACCTGAATGTTTGTCTCTGTGCTGGTGTGCATCCTACAATTTATAACAGTGTTCTCCCCGTGGTACTCTTTTGAACATAATACCTAATGTTCTCAAAACCTTATCACTTTGAAGACTTCATCCACGATGGTTTTTCACTGTTTCCAATCATCTGTAAAATTAGCTACAATGTTATTCTTTTGCTCTAGTTTAAGTTTTCGACCTATGTCTCGCACCATTATAGTATTGGTAAATATGTACTGCCTCCGTTTTTGAAAGTTCTTTACACTTTATTTGCACGGACTGCAATGCGATCTTTAACCATTAATACCTCTAATTTTGTATTACAAAAAATTATAAAAAAATTGATATTTGAAAAATAAGTACCGAGACAATTCAAACAAGATCCCACATGACTATGTTTTGAAATACGTAATAGTGAGAATTAATGGTTCAAATTTTCTAACTATGGACACATTCTAAAGTATGCTGATTATGCTGGTTATTTAGAGGCTAATTATGCTATTTATTATCAATAAATGCTGATTGGTGACTTGTTTTATGCCTGGTCAGATTGGTCACTATAAAATTATTCATTTTTTCTTATGGCACAAAGGTTAAGGATAGTTGTGTGTTCAAACGGAGAGAACAATTGGCAACAGATTGTTCCAAAGAGGGGAAAAAGGTGACAGGGATGGAGAACTTTATATTTAAGGGAACTGATTTTGGGAAACAACAGTGACTGATTTTATAACAGTTTTAATCATTACTACCTCCGTCCCCTAATACAAAGGCTCTTTTGGTTTTTGCACGGGTATTAAGAAAGTTGTAAATTCTTTAAAATTAATGATTAAAAGTACATTTGTGCATGTGGGGTTAGAGAGAGATAGAGAGAAAGAAAAAGTATTTGGGAATTATTGAAGAGATAGAAAGATATAATGTTGAAAATTGAAGTTAAAACTTATAAGTACAAAAAAGTAAAAGAAAAAAGATGACAACTCATCAAAAAGAGGATAGTAATGTCAAAAAATTCAATCTTTAAATAGAAAGAGGCATTATATTTTGGTTTACCTAAAAAGGTAATGAGGGGATGGAGGGAGTATAATTTATAATCTTTTTTTAATTCAGGATCAAAAATCTGTCTTTATTAGCAAGGATCTAACTACCTGAAATATACATTTAATCACTGTTATTCAGTTGAGCAATTTTAGTTTAGTAAAAATCAACTGAATTGAATAGGGCCTTGGCTATCATTCATTATATACGGTTCTTATTCAACATAACTTGTGTGTGCAGATTTTATTGTAGACAACACAACAGATATTGCCGAGGAAGATGAGAGAAGGATGCATCGGCGACCTTTGCTGCCTAGAGAGGAGCAGGAAGAAGATGTTGAAGATCTTGAGAGGAGAATACAGGAACGGTATGCTCGGTCAAGTCAGGCAGAGTATGATGAAGAGACTACAGATGTGGAGCAGCAGGCCCTTTTACCATCTGTTCGGGATCCCAAACTGTGGATGGTGAAATGTGGGGTAGGATTGACCTATCCTAATTATATTGGCTATTCATGGTTTCATGTCTGTAATTTATATGATTATATCATTCTTTGCTTTCATTTTCATATGACATCGGAGCTATTATCTGTTTGAAATATGTCAGATTGGCCGTGAAAGGGAGGTTGCTGTATGTCTCATGCAAAAGTTTATTGATAAAGGATCTGAGTTGCAAATTCGTTCTGTTGTAGCTCTTGATCACCTGAAGAATTTTATTTATGTTGAGGCTGACAAAGAAGCCCATGTTAGAGAGGTGCTCAGAGATATAATTTTTGTATACTAATTTTCTTTACTTATTTTGTTACTTCTGTTTCTTACTTTCTTTACTGTTTTCAGGCCATCAAGGGAATGCGCAACATATTTCCTAGCAAAATAACACTGGTCCCGATCAAAGAAATGACTGATGTTCTGTCTGTTGAAACAAAAGCAATTGACCTCTCCAGGGACACCTGGGTGAGGATGAAAACTGGGACCTACAAAGGAGATCTAGCAAAGGTATAGTGTGCTTTTTGTTTGGACCTTATGATCGTGTTGCCTTGTCTGAAATCTTTATCCTGGATTTCTGTAGGTTTTGGATGTGGACAATGTACGGCAAAGAGTAACAGTGAAGTTGATTCCACGGATAGATTTGCAAGTTCTTGCGAGCAAGTTGGTATGTAATTTATTATGCTGGAAATTCTTATTGTTAATGTATAAGTATGCTGTATTTTGCTATTACCTCTCTTTTGACATCAGTATTGGAAGAAATTATGGTTGTTAAATGTTAGCTTTAACTGTCGTCTATTTGGGTTCATTTTGTATTTTTGATCTGCTTGTGAATTGGAATTATGCTAGTTGCTTACTGTTTCATTTTCAGGAGGGTAGAGATGTCGCCAAGAAAAAAGCATTTGTTCCTCCGCCTCGATTTATGAATATAGAGGAAGCTAGGTATTGACTTGGCTCTCTTTCTATCTCTTTGCCCCTGTTGTAGCTGGATTTTCTTCCTTGTTAGCCATTGACTCTTGTTTTTGGGCTTATTATTGCTCTTAGGGATCTGCATATACGTGTTGAGCGAAGGAGGGATTCTATGACAGGGGATTACTATGAAAATATAAACGGAATGATGTTTAAGGATGGATTCTTGATTAAATCTGTATCCATAAAATCTATCAGTACTCAGAACATACAGCCCACTTTTGATGAATTGGAGAAGTTCCGACATCCCGGTGAAGGTGATGGTGACATTGGCAGTTTGTCAACTTTATTTGCGAATAGAAAGAAAGGGCATTTCATGAAGGGTGATGCTGTTATTATTGTTAAGGGAGATCTTAAGAATTTGAAGGGATGGGTTGAGAAAGTTGAGGATGGAAATGTACACATAAGACCAAATGAGAAGGGCCTTCCGGTACCAAAATTGCTTCTAAATTCTAAAATGCTCCATTATGTTAGGGATTACTTTTTCTATGCATCTTACAAGCTCTCTTGTTTTTGCAGAAAACACTTGCAATTAATGAAAAAGATCTTTGCAAGTATTTTGAACCAGGGAATCATGTTAAGGTTATTTCTGGCTCTCATGAAGGTGCAACTGGTATGGTTGTGAAGGTTGATGGCCATGTGCTGATAATAATATCTGATACAACTAAAGAGCATGTACAGTTATCTTGCCTTGATTCTATTACTTAACATAACTGACAACATTGTCTGTTGTTCTTGTTTGAGTGATTCCTGAATTTTATTTTATTTTATTTTTTTTGCTATTTTGTGTAACTTTTGGTTATGTGCAGCTTCGAGTTTTTGCTGATCATGTTGTTGAAAGCTCCGAAGTGACAACAGGTGTCACAAAAATTGGAGACTATGAGCTGCATGATCTTGTGCTGTTAGAGTACGCAGCTCTCTTATAACTTTGTCCTCTCTCTTTTGCTGTATGTAGCTATTTTTAATTTTTTAATAATTTTTTATGAATTGTTTGTGTATTAACTTTTATGTAATCTTGTGCAGCAATACGAGCTTTGGTGTAATCATACGAGTAGAAAGTGAAGCTTTCCAGGTGATTGTCTGTGACTCAACTGTTTGAAGTAAATATATTTTGATCTCTTGTATGAATGTCATATTTATTTCAGGTGCTCAAAGGGGTTCCAGATCGCCCTGAGGTTGTGCTAGTGAGGTTGAGAGAGATAAGATCCAAAATTGATAAGAAGTTGTTTGCACAAGATCGATCTAAGAACCCTGTAGCTGTGAAGGATGTTGTCAGGGTTCTTGAGGGGCCGTGCAAGGTGTGACACATCTTTATCTATAATCCTTTGCACTCCTCTAGCATTTAATAATGCACTCCTCTAAATCTTCTATGATACCATAGTATTAGTATTTTTTTTTTTTTAAATAATTTTATATCTGTATTATCTTTTTGACTTGCAGGGAAAACAAGGCCCTGTTGAGCACATATTTAGAGGAGTTTTGTTCATATATGATCGTCATCATCTTGAGCATGCTGGATTTATATGTGCCAAGTCTCAGTCATGTCTAGTTGTTGGTGGCTCAAGAGGAAACAGAGATAATAAAATAGTAAGGATCTTTATGCTTTCTAATTGAGGACAAGGGGTTCTATTCATGTTCTTGGGAAAGAGTATCTTGTGTTTATGTTTTTTGGGTTTTAGTTTGCTGTATGAGTACACTAATATCTTTGTCTATCCCTTGTTATTTTAGTCCCTCTCAATTGCAGATGTCCAAGTCTGCACTCTATAATTTCCTCTCCTGTTATAAAATCTTTCACGGTCTTTACTAATATGAGTATATAATTAACTAGATTAAACCCCATGCTATGCACGGTTGTTAAATAATTATAATTACAATAAATTACCAAAAAGATTGATATAAATATTATGAATAGAACTCAGTATTAAAAAGTATAAAATATATGTGAAAAAATATTAAATTTGTAATAATTATAATGGGCATATTGATATGTAAGGAAGTTTATTTTTGATTTTGTACAAAGTAAAAGTCATAATATAGATACAGACCTTAATTTTAGAATTTTAGGTGACAATTTTTTTTATTTTTTATTTTTAATAAATAAGTAATTTTGGAGGAAAACTTTTCATATTATGTTGTCAAGTGTCCCTATAAGTTTCGCCTTTAGTATAATGTAATTGATGATATTGATGGTCAAAGTATTGTATTGAAGACCATGAAAAGAGAAGTGTTACTATGTTTAGTAACATAAGAAGCATTAGGCTATCATATTAACTCAAATACTGACTCTGTTTTTGTTTGTTTTCTTATAATGTTCTTAACTTATATCTTCTACTACCTCTGTTACATATTATTTGCAACGATTTGACATAAAGTAGAGAGGAAAAATGTGTAATCGTTGCAAATAATATGTAACGGAAGTAGTATATCATTTTATTGCATTTGCTGACTCCTGGTCATGTTTGGATTCTCATTGATTCATTTGTGTTTTTATCATTCTTCATTTCCAGGGTGACCCGTTGTCAATTTTGAGAACTCCACAACGAATGCCTCAATCTCCTGGAAGACTACCACCAAGGGGTCCTCAATCAGATTGTGAGTCCCTTTACATGATATTCCTTCAACTTGGCATGCGTTATTGACCTCAGAAGTGACCATGCTGATTTTCTTTTATCTTGGCATGTATTTTTGCTTGTTCTTTCAACTTTTCCTTAATATTAAAATGGCATAATATACATTGTAACTTGTGATCATGTTGCAGTTGGAGGAAGGAATAGAGGAGGTGGAAGAGGGCATGATTCTCTCATAGGGACTACAATTAAAATACGTCTCGGGCCTTACAAGGGTTACCGAGGACGTGTGAAGGACATTAAGGGTACAACTGTACGAGTTGAGTTGGAATCTCAGATGAAAGAGGTCACAGGCAAGTATTTGTTACTGTGTGATTATTGACAGGCATCTTAGTTTATTACACCATGAAACTAATAGACTAATAGCTAAGCTTTTTTTTTTCTTTTCTTTTTTTTCTTCCCCAGTTGAGCGAAGTTTTATATCTGATAATGTGACGGTTACTACACCATACCGGTAATAGCCTTTTTCTTTTCTGCTGTATTCTTTGTTGTTCTGTGATATGCCGTGTATCTTACCCTTTTTTTCATCTTAGGGAACCAACACGATATGGTATGGGCAGTGAGACTCCTATGCATCCTTCACGCACACCAATGCATTCGCACATGACTCCTATGAGAGAAGCGCGAGGTTGGTCTTTAATGTGTCTGTAACTTTGCATATCATGCTACAATAATGTGACTGAAATATGAAATATGAGTCATGTTTCCTTAACATGTTTCGGTTATTGCCTTTGTCTAGCTACTCCCATTCATGATGGTATGAGGACACCAATGCGGAGTCGTGCATGGAACCCATATGCCCCAATGAGTCCAGCGAGGTCAGTTATGCTTTTGTCTTTGATTTTGTTCTTCTTGGTAATTTAGTCGAACATTATGGCCTCTAGTAGGTATAAGACTAGAATGCGAAAAATTACTTTTTGAAAAGGCTATGTTGATCTTTTATACTTACTCCATTTCTTTAATATTGCAACATGGGAAGTGTATGAGATTTTTGGAAGTGGGAAGAAGTAAGATATAGGCAAAATTACAAACTTACAATGTGATTTCATATTTGCATGTATTAACTAAAGCAACAAATTTCAACAAGGGTATGTTGGTATTTGCAGTGTGCAAGGAGATTCTTATTTTCCTAAAATGGTTATGTTGTGTTTGTGAAACCTTGTAAAGAGTTAAGTTGCAATATCAAAGAAATGGAGGAAGTTGCTTTTCTTGAGCTACAGAAATACCCTTTCCATGCTAAAAGTTATCAATGAGGCTGTTGTGGTTAATTAAGCGAATGTACATTATTAGTTGCTGAAAAGTAATGGATGATGAAAGTGCATTAAATGGATTATTACATAAATTGCCGAAAGTGTTAATTTTGTTTGTTTTGGTTGTGAATGCCAGCCTGCCAGTTTTTTTAGTTTTTATTTTTTAATTCTCCTGATATTTGTTCTTTTGACTGATTCCTGGATCTTGTGATGTCAGGGATGACTGGGAGGAAGCAAATCCTGCTTCTTGGGGAACAAGTCCACAGTATAGGGTATGGGTTAATTTCTAAATGTTTTTTAGCAAGGCATTTTTTCTTCTCTTGAAATGTGCTTGACGTGCTTGATGCTCTTCAGCCTGGAAGTCCCCCCTCGAGACCATATGATGCCCTTACTCCTTCAGGCTGGGCTCCAACTCCCGGTGGCAATTATACTGACCCTGCGACCCCAAGAGATGGTGCTTCAGCATATCGTAAGTTATCTATCAATTCACCTTTTTTTTTTAAACTGTTCTTGTCTCTTGATTTTTCTTTTAATATTTAACTGATTTGTATCCTCATTCTAGCCAATGCTCCAAGTCCTTATTTACCGTCAACACCTGGAGGGCCCTTAACGCCAAGTTCTGTGTCGTATCTACCTGGTACTCCTGGCGGGCAACCGATGACGCCTGGTGGTGGCGGCCTTGATATGATGTCTCCTACAATAGGTTTGATTTCTTTCTTGTGCCCCCTTTTGAGCTTCATCCAATACAACATTCGTCTCTCTTTTGCATTTATTCACATCCTGCTGGATGATAGCTTTGAAATACGGTTAGCTACTTCCACTGATTTATTATTCTATTTTGATTATCTCTCTGGAGAGGTGTCAATATCTACTGCTACCCTCATTTATCATTAGATTGCTATAATGTAATTGCTGCATATTAGGGTTTATCATCTTTGATAGTTTCAGAGAACTTCTGGCCTGGTGTTTGGATAATCATGCTGTACGCTTGTAGCACCTTTGCTTTGAATTGTTAGGATAGAAATAAGCTATGACTGTCTTTCAAGTTTTGGCTGCAAATCCCAGTATTTTCAGTTTTTTTCCAGTGATAATTATTTTATAGGCTTGTAGCACCTCTGCTTGAGTTGCTAATGTAGAAATAACTAGGTTTATATGCTACGACTGTTTCAAGTTTTGGCTGCAAATTCTGGAATTTTTCAGCATGGTTTTCCAGTGTTCGTCAGGTCCAGATATGAATCATATGAGAATGAGAATCTTAGTTCTTTTAAGTAGGCAAGCCCAAACTGCTAGGTTGCTTTTGTTACTTTTCTATTCGCCTACAATGTTTCTTGCTTGAAAGCCTGCTCTTTTATTGGACGTCTTTTTTAAAGGCTCACTCTGAAAATGTGGTCTGATTGAAATAGAAGTTGGTCTCTCTGATAATCTCTCTTTTTTTTTATTAAAAAAAAACATTATTGTCATTTTGTGGTATGGATTGATTTCTTGTAATAATTATGTAATCTGTTACTTATATAATATGTTCAGAGACTTGAAATTATGCAAGCTTTTGAATTAAAAATTTATTGCTAATTTGCAATTAAAATGAACTTGGCTTTTTGAATAAAAGCAAATCACTTGGCTTTTAAGCTTCTCATCTTTGAATAAAATGATAAATTGGTTGCTTCAGGATAGTATGTATTGGGTTTCGATGAGGTGAAGTTGTACAAGTATATTTATGGAAAATGTAGTATGAGCATGATGTTCTCGTGTGGTTTGGCTGGAAAAATTGTTGGGCTGGCAATCCCTGACCCAACACGATAACCCGACCCAAACCCGACTCTAAGTTACTGAGAGTACCCTGAACCGACTTGAACCGAACCTGAACAACCCAAATTCAACCCGATTTGACCCAAAATTCATATTTCATAATAATATTAAGTTTTACACTATTTTTGATACTTTTTAAGCACAACCCGAAACTGTCCTGAAATTTGACCTGAACCCGAGCTGCTAACCCGAATTGCCACCCCTAAAAAATTGTGGTGCTTGGTAGGAATTACTTTAATCTGGCTTATAAGTATATTTGTATGGGAAGTGATCTGCTGCTATATTCAGTAAGCCTTGTGTTTTTTCAATTTAGATGTTTAGAGAATCTTTCAACATATATTAATTTTGTCTTTGTGTGTAATGTTGATGTGCAGGTGGTGAGAATGAAGGATTATGGCTCATGCCTGATATTTTGGTAAATGTGGTCAAGTCAGGTGATGATAGCATGGTGGGAGTTGTGCAGGATGTGCTAGCGGTATGTTCTTTTTTGTTTAACTATAATTGCTTTGCAATCCCAGAATTTTTCTAATGGTATGGTTAATTTAGTTGGCTTCTCTTGTATGTTGATTTATCCCGAGAACAATGCTTCTTGGAAGTACACATATTTGTCTGCTAATTGTAGAAGTTCACAAATGTATACATGGCAAGCACTCGAATATTCGTGTTCATATTAGTGTCCTTAAATCCGTCTCATCTTTATTATTCTCTCAGGATGGTTCTTGCCGAATTGCACTTGGAACAAGTGGCAATGGTGAGGTCATAACTGCCCTGCCAAATGAGATTGACTTGATTACTCCAAGGAAAGCTGACAAAATCAAGATTATGGGAGGTGCACAACGAGGGTTTACAGGTAAATTGATTGGGGTGGATGGTTCCGATGGAATTGTAAAAGTAGATGAATCACTCGATGTTAAGATATTGGATATGGGTATTCTGGCGAAGTTGGCACAGTCCTGATGCAAATTATTTGATTTTCCGAGATGGTGTAAATTTTGTTCCATGAAGCACAATGTATATTTTAGATAGATTAATAGGGACAATTTATAGGTCTTTTTCCCCTACTTGTAGGTTGATATCTATTTTTTTTTTTACTTAGCTGCAATAATTTAAAATTACCAAGTTTCGAAGGGGGTGTTGGAATAAAACAAGGGGCTTGGTGATTCCAGTTGTGCCAATCCCTTCATACCCAAAAATTACCTTGCTTTGCATTCCAGTATCTTTAAATCCAACCTTTTCTACGATGTCTCTTATTCCAGCTTTCATCGCACAACTTGAATCATCCACGAAGTAAAGCTTACAGTACTGTTTTGTACTATCTTCGTTAACTTTTAATTGCAATTTTGGGGTATTATTTGTGAGATAAAAAATGTTCTAAAGTTGTAACTAAAAGTTAATGGAGGTAGTATTATACTTTACACAATCATTTATTATTTAAGAAGTTTTAAATACAAAGATGACCTTACACATTTTATCAACTAAATATCACACGGAATAACGTGAGATGTCTTTAACTATTTCTTCTCAGTCCCATCTTTAACGTGAGATATCTTTAACTATTTCTTCTCAGTCCCATGTATGGTGTTGTGTAGTTCGAAGAAGTCACTGGCTTGGTTTGAAACTGTGGTTAATACCGTAGTAGTTGCAGTAATTGAATTTTGCCAGTTTTACCTAAACTGGCGATGACCTTCTATTTCTTAGTATGTATCACTTTGGATTTCTTAGTATGTATCACTTTGGATCACATCGGGTTATAAACAGACAAAGTTTGTTGTTCCGAACTTTCCTAGCCTTTTCGACTCAAATTGGTCAAATCGGAATCAGTATTGTTAAAGGCAACTAACACGAATACACAATTTGGAATCAATCAACATTTGTCTAATCGGTTAAGAAAGTGACCCTAAGGCTTTAGCATGTAACTGAGAAAAGCCACAAATGTAAGAACTAATTCATCAAAGAGATAATAATCACAAAACCTGCAATTATATTAACATTAGCTCAAAAAAAAAAAAAAAAAAAAAAAAAAAACACACACACACACACATTAGCTCTAAACATTTTGGTATACCGAAAGTATAAACACTAATTCCCGAAAGGCACTCGAAATTCAAAGGGAAAATCCATCCATATACATTAGAGAGTAAAGAAGAAAACATGACATTTTATTCTTTTATTCATTCCTGCATTCTTCAAATCTAAGCCAGCTCTAACAGTTCAAGCATCCATGCGAATAATGCACCTGATACTTTCACCCTTCAACATGAGATCGAACGCCTTGTTGATGTCCTTGAAAGCGACTTCATGGGTTATAAATTTCTCCAGCTCAAGCTCCTGCATCATGTCATAAGATGCTTATGAGCTAACTAGTTAAAGAGAATTTGTTAAGAAAGATAGCTAGAATTAGTGGTTTCATACCTTGTTCATGTACTTCTCCACGACTCCTGGAATATCAGTACGAGGCTTATAGTTGCCGAAGAAAGTTCCCTTGAGCGTCCTCTCGTTAAGGAAGTTCATGGGATGAGTCTTGAAGGCATCATCTTTGTTGGGCACGCCAACAAGAACAGCAACGCCCCAGCCCTGAAGTCAATCAAATCCATATAAAATAAATCAGTACACATCTAAAGGAGTAAGGGATAGTTCAGGCTTATTTAATAGAGCGGGAAGGGATTGAAGGGATCGAAAATTTGACTGTTGAGAGCATACATCATGAACACATTCAAAAGCAGAAATCATGGCTTGAATATTTCCAGTGCATTCAACACTTCTGTCCACACCTCCATTAGTCATCTCAGCAATAACCTAATGAAAAAAGCACAAGGAAGAATATGAATCAGAAAATTACAGTACCAGAAAGGTCAAGTTATGTAGTCATTTAGGAGTAGGGTGTAAAATAAAACCTCTTGAACTGGTTTGTCATGGTCTTTTGGGTTCACAAAATCAGTCACACCGAACTTCTTCGCTGTTAAACCGCAGCAAATCAAATTATACTCGTACATATTCTAGACTTCTAGTAATGTAAACTATCAACGATGGTATGTCATGGTTTACCTGCTTCAAACCTGCTAGACACCAGATCCACACCTATGATCCTTGATGCACCAGAAACTCTGGCGCCCTCAGCAGCCTAAAGATATCAAGAAATCAATAAATGTCATTAAGGTCATTGACAAAAGTTGAATAGACGGAAATCAGTACATAATGTACTAAAGATGAGGTACCAACCGCTAGGCCAACGGCTCCTAGGCCGAAAACAGCAACTGTTTGACCCTTCTTTGGTTTAGCAACATTCACAGTGGCACCAAAACCTGTAAAGAAAGCCCCGAAAACAATCAGTTGATCACATGTTAACCTTCATTGTATTGTGTCAAGACTCAAAGAGTAATGAATTCGGATTTTGACTTGGTACCTGTAGAGATTCCACAGCTGAGAACACAGACTTTGTCAAGGGGTGCTTCAGGGTTGATCTTGGCAAGACAGCCAACATGAAGCACAGTGTATTCACTAAATGTGGATGTTCCGACGAAGTGGAAAATGGGTTGTCCTTTGATTGAGAACCTCGATTTCCCGTCGTTAAGCATCACACCCCTATCAGTGTTGATCCTAAGAAGATCACACATGTTACTCTCCTCAGATTTGCAGTGTGCACATTCCTTGCACTCACCAGTGAAGATAGGCAGGACATGGTCTCCTGGCTTAAGCTCTGTCACACCCTCTCCAACACTTTCCACAATTCTACATAATCAAATGCACACAAATCACAATAATCAATGACTAGCCAGTAATATCATTGCTACTTAAATACTTCTAATGAATATACCATACTTTAATGTGATCATTAGTTTATTTTTTATTTATTTATTTTTGTACAATTTTTAGGATGTCAGAACATTATGTTAAATCTTTGATCATGAGAAGTTGGGACAGTTTGACAACTAATTTCAGACAGAGAGAGGGTAGGCTTGATCAACAAAAAATTATATATTATGCTATGCAGATTCATTCACCAATTAGTAATGAATTAATACCATTTTACATTAATAAAGGCAGAAGATACCTAAAAAGAGTGAATGCAAGATGTATATAAGAACATTGAAAGTATGATGTTGGTGCTAACAATTTCAACCATTCAATCAATTCAACGAAATGAAACACTAAAACACAAAATTAACCATTTAGCACAAGAAATGATGTAGAAAATGGGCATACCCTCCAGCTTCATGACCGAGGATTCGAGGAAAAACAGGTGTTTGCCCCTGGAAAATCAGCAAAAAAACAGATCATATGAGAAAGATTACATTAAATTACACACATTGAAAACTATAAGTAAAACAAATCATAATGAATTAAGTTATACCTTGGCCTCCCAGAAGTACACATCAGTGTGACAAAGTGAAGTGAAGAGGATCTTCACTCGAACCTCCATTTTTTGTGGTGGCGCAACCTCCACTTCTTCCATCACCAAGGGCTTTCCTGCTTCCCATGCTACAGCAGCTGCATTTTTCATATAAAAGTAATAACATTAATTTCATAAATTCTTTCGATAACTCCTCTGTTACTAAAAGTTCTTCCTGTTTAGTTTAAATGACAACTGTCACTAAAAAAATTAGTGTCAGGAAGAACTTTACTCTAGAGAGTAGCTTTTAATAGTTTTAGCACTAAATTGATAAATATAGCCTAGTACTTTTGATCAAGGTCACATTTATATTTTAAGGATATTATTTCTAACATGCAAAGTATATATTCAAAACTAAATTGAATTGTATGATTGTATCTTGTTGAATTGAATTTAATATTAGTTGTAAATCAAAGTTCATAATTTCTCACTATTAAATAACCTCACTAATATTTAATTATCAATTGTAATTCCTTGTAACCCATGATCTCTTCAAATAATCAATTGTAATTAAACATTTCATCACAATATCCATCAAAAATTAAAAACACTGACAAGCAAACATCCCAAACAAAATTCCAATATTAAATGAAACATAAACTTTCATCTTAATTTAAAAACAATGAAGTCATAAAATAGAATTTTAACTAACACCCATGAATAACTGCAGTACATAAATCATTCTAATCATACCTTTGCAACGAATAACTTGACCAGCAGTGTTCGACATCTTTCTGAAATTTGATGAACAATCAACCTTTTCTGTATTTATATAAAAACAGGGGACTTAATTTTTCTCCAAGAAATCAACTTTTTTTGGATTTTTTTTTTTTTTTGGTTAGAAATTCTTAGAATTTTCTACAAGAAATCAACAGTAAATGTTTTTGAGGATCACCGAATATTTGTCAATGTACCCAAATTTCATGGGCATTTATAATAAAAGTGGGTGTCCTTAATTTTCGTTTTTCTGCAATAAAAATAAAAATTAATTGAGAGTATATTACTGTGAGCTGGTTTCTTTAACAGATGACACGTAAAAACAATAGGCTCAAACTGAATTTAAAAACCATTTTGGTGGGTTTTTGATTAAACCCCTGGTTTTGCTTTACCACTTGCTACAGTGTTAATTGGTACGTTAAAAAGGTTTATGGAATAATAATCTAAGGCAAATAGGGCCAATAATTACATAAGATAGATGCTTTGTTAATCATCAACTTGGATGTATGATGTATAGTATATATGAAAATAAAGGTGATTGGTTATTTAGGTCAATTTCTTGGTGCTATTAGTCCCATGATAGGAAAAATAAAAAATATGTCTTGTCTATGGATTTATGTTCAATGTATGGTACGGACTATGGAGTATTAATGTATTAGTGTACTCCCTCCGTTTTTAAATACTTGTTCCGCTTTTCTTTTTAAGTTGTTTTTAAATACTTGTTCCATTTTCATATTTGGAAAATTTTAACAATATTTAATTCATTTCTCTCACTAAGTGGACCACCAAGAATCATATTTTATTAATCTCATATTCTCTGTTCTCCAATTCTATTCACTACTTTTACTTTTTATAATTTTTTATCCTTCCACCTACCCCACTACCTTCATATTTTATTACTTTTTTCAATTTCTCCTAAAACTCCGCGCATGGAGAAATGGAGCAAGTATTTAAAAACAGAGGGAGTATTACTCCTAGGCTTGTTCACAGATCTGATATCCGAACTGAAATGCGATTTTGGATCGTATATCCGAATACTTAGAAACTGATGTCCAAATCCGATTCGAAAGATTGGATGCTTCGAATATCCATTATCCAATATTAATTAAAATTAATATGATTATTTTCTAAATTTCACTAATTTTACC